GAGCTCATGGCGAACGACTTGCAAGATAAAACTGAAGTCTCTTGCCCGCCTTCGCCGCTGCCTCTGGACGTGTTTTCTAGACTACAACAACTCTCGCACTACCGCGACAACGAAGCTCAGCGTCAGCAACAGATACGCGAGGAAGAAGCTCTTCGGTCCAAGCCTCCAGTCGAATGGAACGTCATCCCATACACAGCAACCTGCAGCTTCATCTTGCAAGGTTTCGATCGTCCCAATGCACTTGCGTAGCCAAGATTTCTGAATAAATTTCCACGAATTTAACCCAAATACACTGGGTCTTCGTTGTTCATTGCTCGAACGTCTCGCAATCGCTTGATGAAGTTGTACAGAGGAACGTTGCGCTTGACGTTCTCGAGATGCGTTTCGTGCGACTTCAGCAGCTCCACGCAGCCCGCGGTGGACGTACTTTGCATACATTCCATCAGTGACTCGTAGTATTCCTCCTCGTACACTCCTCTGGACAACAGTCGCTGTACAGGAGATCGGCGCAATCGCTCCAAGAAGCCAAACCAATCGGCCAAATCGCTCTGTGTCAGTCTCAATTGCGAATCTTTGGGTGCGTTCACTTTTGCACCATCCAGCCAAATTGTAAGCACATAACGCTCAGCGTGGGATGGCAATACTCGATGCAACATGCAATCGCTTTGGAAAAGCACCACGCGATCCATTTTCGGCGCCACAGTCACAGGTTGTTGCAAGAAGGGAAAAAGTTGCACCTCGCCACCGTCACCTTGTTCCCAGCCGTCGTTTAGATACAACAAACACGTCACTTTTCGCTTGTTGGGAGCGCCAGGGTTGTCGTAGTGGCACGGGAAACAACCTCCGTGTCCAGCGTTGCGTTGCAACTTGAGCGTCCGATCCGAAGTGCTGAACTGCAAGTCGTATTGAGGCAAATACTTTGTCAAAGCATCCGGCAACTCCGTTGAGTGGAACAGTGCGTCTAGTTCGGGCACTTTGGTGCGCAAGGAAGCATCGTGTAAATCCACTTCGAAGATATGCGGCTTGACGAAGTGGAAAGCTTGCGGTTTGCCATCCGTTCCCTTCTGTGTCAGTGCGAATTGCGTCTTGTTCGGCTGGAAATGGTTCTGGTCGTTGAGCCACCGCATCTCCTCAAGCAACGCACTAGCCCAACCATGGCCGAAACACTCGTCGATGACCACGTATCCCTTCTCGTCCAGTTGTTCACATGCTTCTTTGGTGACTTTACGATGCAAACGCTCGTAGTCGCGCGTGAACGGCTCC